TACAGAATCGTAACTTTAGATTTACGGACAAGTAAACCGTATTTCAGATTACGGATGCTTCTCCGTAGCTTTTAATGAGAAGTTCTACGTTTTTTTACGGAACGTTTTTACCGTGTAGGTATGAAGAATCTTGCCATTTTACAAACAAGGCTTTCAGATAAAAGTCTAGTAGCTCCATGAAGCTTTCCGTTGAAGTACCACTCGAATTCTGAAACTTGATTTCTCCTGATTGTTCAATAGTTGATTTGACTGAAGCCAGGAGAGCATCCTGTGGAATGGATGCTCTCCTTTTAAGTGCAAAAACCCACAAAGACGCATGTCCCTTCAGGGCCATTGTATCAGAAAGGGGTACTTGGCAGAAACAGATCGCCCTCTATCTCCAGACTCACTTTCTAGCCTCAACATAGTTGACCCGTTCCTCATACACAACTCCGAGGAGTTAATTGATTTTTTGAAGAGTGACACCAATCAGAAGAGAGGAGCCTTCAGCGTGGACGTGGTGAACCTGTATGACTCCATTCCACAGGATGCTCTCCTGGCTTCAGTCAAATCAACTATTGAACAATCAGGAGAAATCAAGTTTCAGAATTCGAGTGGTACTTCAACGGAAAGCTTCATGGAGCTACTAGACTTTTATCTGAAAGCCTTGTTTGTAAAATGGCAAGATTCTTCATACCTACAGCGGTCTGGAGTGTGCATTGGGTCATGTGTTGCTCCCATCTTAAGCGACATCTTTCTGGGAGGCGTAGACATGATCCTCGCACCGCTTTTGAGCACTATGTCTATTATAAAAGTCTTCAGGTACGTTGATGACTTTCTTATTATCCTCCAAGAAGAACAAACAGAAGACTTAATAGATACAATCCTGAGTGTTTTCTCCAGAAGCGGTAAAGGTCTGAGTTTTACGTATGAACAACCTATTCTAAATGTGCTGCAGTTCCTGGACCTATCTATAAAAATCTCAGATCACCACATTTGTTGGTCCTACCTACCACGCTCCAAAAAAGAAATTCTTAATTACCAATCTGCCCATTCAAAATTAATAAAAAGAGGGATAGCCAGTTCGTGCATGTATTCAGCTTTGAAAAAATCCTGTCACCACACCATCGAACAGAGTTTCAGCACTCAAGTAAACAAACTCTCAAGATCCGGCTTTCCATCAGCCATGTTAAGTGAAGTTGCGGGCACTCTGATACAAACTTGTAAAGGATCGACCAAAAGAAAAAAGAGCAAAGACCTTACCAATATCCGACCACTAGTTATACCATACATCCACAAGACGTCGCACAACTTAAAAAATGTTGCCAATAGATACAACGTGCCCATGGTGTTTTCAGCCCCAAACAAACTGGGTAGAATTTGCACGCTTGTGGACAAGAACAATGACAGCAGGGCTTGCTGCATGAAAAACCACAAGGTGCACTTTGTGTCTTGCATTCTACAAGTGGTTTACCATCTTCCTCTGTCCTGAGGGAAAACCTATGTCGGACAGACTGGGCGTTGCCTCAACGACCGCTTGAGGGAACATAAACAGTCTCTTCAAACCACCACTGGAAGCCACCTAGCCATCCACTGCAGAACCTGTGGATGTGATCCAGATTTTTGTGCAACAACTGTTCTAGCTTCCCATAAAGAAAAAACAACAAGAGAAATAGTGGAAGCCTTTTGGATAAGAAAGCTTGAATCCAAATGTGTGAGCCAGCCATCATTAACACTACAAGACAGCGAGTATGAGTTTATGGGGGCAGCTGCGCACAAATAGGTGTATGGTCAAGGCTTCGGAGTGCCGGCACTGGACATGCCTAGGACTTTGAGAGATTGATTTTAATTTATTTTGTTTTCCTTGTCAGCTATAATTATTTTAGGTGTAATTTTATTTAATTTATTAGCTTTTTCACATCTTTCTCTTTTCCGATATATGTTCATGTGTGTAGTTTTCTTCCTTCTCCTTTTCATAGTAAATCGTCAGTTGCGAGTCAGCGCTTGCCTGTTCTGTCTTCCTTTTCTGTCCCTCTCCTTGTGCGCTGTTTAATTATGTATAGCAACCACCAACTAGCCCAAGTATCCACCATTTTGTGCTTGGTGGCAGGTCTGTGATTTTGTAGAAGAAATTAACCTCAGAATACGGAGGAGGTCTTTCCTCCTAAAAATGGTTCGTAACGAAACACAACCAGTTTAAACAACGTGAACACTTCGCTAACAAAGGTCACACTGGCATAAATATTAAATGAGTTCAAATGAGCAAAGTGTTGACTTCATTAGGAAAGTCAACATTTGCTAACAAAAACTGTATTGGCGTAATGACTAGATTTAGCTTTGGAGCATTCCACCACGTGGCACTTGCCATTTTTTTCTACATATTTTAGATTTTTCATTAATAAGGGCCCTTTCGTTCACTTGACTACAGCTATTAACATTTTAATGTACATAACTCTTCTCCAACCATTCCTTAAAAACAAGTATGAAAAAAAAAGAAGAAAACCTTGTGCGAGAAAAGTGCCACTTTGAGAGAAGATCACGCAACCTTTTCTGGGCCCACGCTACCTCAGACCTGCTTGCTGGTTTCATTATTCACTGAACAAAACCAAGCAGCTGCCCAAATGCTGCTGGGTACGTTACGTTCTTTATGTAGTAAACACAGGCATAGCACCAGCGCTTTCTTGAGAGACGTGTCTGGTTGCAGGTCGATTGCACTTCGTGGTTCGTTGCCGCAGATTAGCCGTCTCGTTTCGCCCCACACAACGCAGGGTCCCAGAATATCCGTCGGTGCAACCTGTTAACAATAAGATTAAGACATTATGGCATAAAACAAACTTAGCATTACAAAAATTAGTATAAACACTTGAACGTTAACATTGTCCCCGTTGTACTAAGTGAAGCGCTCATAACGGGCCGTTCTTAGTTCGTTAAAGCTGTGTAACATTAAGTGCGCTTTGAGCGTGCTTGAAGTATCCTCATTATTGCGTAAGTGGTCTACTCGCCGCTGAAATCAGTGCGTGTTTTTGCGAGCGTCACGAGAAAGCGTTACGCAGACGCGTTACGGTTACGCCGACGGCGACGCCGCTCAAGCTAACTCGATATTTTTGCAAAGCTTTATCTCAAAGAAACGATTGGGTTGAGGCCGATCAAAACCAAAATGAAGCATGCCTGCGAGCACCGGAACATGCAAAGATTCACGCGGCTGGCTCTGATGTTACTGTGATTCTTTGCATCTTCTTAATAATAATAATAATATTCTTTATTCAGACAAGTGTCTAGGAGGATGGGGCAGAAGGCGGTTTAAATCGTCCGACAGGGCTTCATCCCCCTGCACAGTCAGCAGCACAACGTACAGAAACATAGGAACAAAAACAATCAAATACTAATAGTGGGATTACACTAAGATACAGTGATATAACAAAAGAAATGCGGCCGGAAACTTTAATAAATCACCGCTGCGACCCTTTTCCTCCTACAGTGCACCGTTGTGTAGCCTTTCCCTTCTTTCCTGCTGCCACCCTTTTTCCTTTGCCACATTGCCACGTACCCATTCTCTCGTTCGGCAACATTCTGGGTGTTCGTTGATTCCGAACCGTAAAGTTTCAACACGGGAGACCGACGCAGATACGGGACTTCAGGCAAAATATGCTTTTGAAGTTTTTGCGACAGCAATGCAACACTTACCCCCGAATTCATAGATGTGACTTGAACTAAAGCCAAACTTCGACTTGCTCAAGTCCGCCTTAACACCAAGTTCGACTTGAAAACGCCCAAGCTGCGTTTTACGTTTCATAGACGTTCCCGCGAACTTCCTTCGTCAAGTCCCGTTCAAGTCGCGAGCGGTCGTGGCCCTCCTCGCCTGGGAGCGAGAGTAGGCTGCAGTTTTTCTCGTAAAAGTTCTTTCAGACTTTAAAATAAGGTACTTCTCTAAATTTTCTTTATAGCATATGTTTACGAAACATAAATCGCGAGAGATGGTAATGGGAAGTTTAATTATTTTAGCGATTGTACGCGTTTTCTGGACATAATGAGGATTTCGTCTAGCAACATACCAAATAGCCGCCAAGCACGCTCTTCGCTGCTCTTCGCTCGTCCGGACGCTCCAGCCTTCCCTTCTGTGCAAGTTTTCTTCTGTTAAACGGTAAAACTTTTGAGATTCCCCCAACCCTTGAGCAGCAGTGGAATGGCCACTAAAAAAAAACAATCGCCGCGCTTCACCGCTGATGAAATATCTATTCTGTCGGGGCTTGTCGGCAAGCATAAAACGATCATTGAATGCAAAAAGACAGACTCCGTATCTTCGAACCTCAAAAACGAGACCTGGGAGAAACTCTGCAATGAGTATAACTGCTTACCGGGCGTTAGTCCACGGGACTCTAATCAGCTCAAGAAGTGTTGGGGGAACCTCAAACAAAAGTGGAAGAACGAGCGCTCGGACGAGAAGCGCAAGACCCACAAGACAGGTGAGTGTTCTGTCTCTGCTCGTCCATGTTACTCGGAGTGATCGATCTAACCTAGCATTTGCGATTGGCGAAAGATCATATTGGGAAACCTTTTTGCGCTTCCTTTTTCTCAGCGTGTGTCATTCCGCATTTTCTTCAGTTCAGTATATAGAAAGATCGTGATATGTGCAATGTTCCGAGTGCCGTGGATTATCCCGCTCCCGTTTAGATCCACTTTAGCTATGTTGTACTGAGGCACACAGCAGATGTCGACATATCTTCCGTAGGGGAAATAGTTGTTTTGCATGCGAGATGGCATAATATGGCATTGTTGCAGTTTACTCTTACGGCGTTATTGCCTTATTGATCAACCTACCTTTCTATTTTTTACCCGTGTCACAAAAATATCGTGCTAAAACGTCCCAGCCTCGTCTATGTACAGGAGTGTTTCTTTAGAATATTCAGTATGTGCCTATATCTCGACTGCTTTAATCAAGTGACTTGACATACACGATTGTTCCTTAGGAGGGGGGCCGCCCCCCACACTGCCCCCACGCTACTGCCCCCACGCTTGTGGGGGCAGTAGCGGGGCACATGGCCACCCGCCTTGACAACGATAACGACTCCGACGGAGCCGCCTATCTGCCCCCTGTCCAGAACGAGCCAGTGGTGCGGCTGCTGGAGGGCATGGTCGACTGCGACCCAGTGTACGAGTATGCAGGTACAGTGTTGAGACACATCGATCTGCACTTTAGGCCACTTGTAGGTTGCGTGTGATGGAAAAATATAAATAAAGGGACTCAGAATTCCAGAACGGTGAAGATAGGACGGAAGATATTTACAGTCGTAAGAAAAGAAAGTAAGAAATAAAGCGGTGTAGATATATAAGCAAAGTTCAGTTCGGCAAATCCGCTTACGGCACGGTGTTGCACGTCGGCATTGGCATGGAGTTGGCAGGCTCGCTTGGCACAAGCGGATGTTTCCCAGCAAGCTTGGTTAACAGCCCCACGGGCCTGGATTTGTCTGTCCGGGCTCTTCCTTGGCTGCCAGGACCACTGCTGTCGAGCCGGGTTCCGTGTCGTGCCTGCCCTTTTTTCACGTATCACAAGCCTGTGTCATCTTCCTCTCATCACGTCTTCCTTTTTCATTATATCCATCTCTTGCTTTGGCCTTGCTGCCTTCGTCTTCTAGTTACTCACACCTTCACCACGTTCACTGCGTCTTCTTTCTCGTTTTTTGCTCAGTCCAACTCACAGTTTTCATGTATGTCGTTCTTATCATCCTTGGTTCCCCCCCGTCACAGTGTGCACCTCACAAGAGATTGGTAACACAGAATCCATTCTATAGCTTTGTGGTAATGTTGCACAAATTAACCGGCCACAATGGCGCCCAAGCGTGGTATGCTACTCACTCGCAGAAATTTCACGAGGCTTGGTTTCTTCTTTTGGTAAGCCTTTTTCCACTCCCCGTGTTTCCTACCGTCCCGTGCTTCGGTCACGTCCGCGTTTGTTGTATTGGTTTGTTTTTGACCGTTCGTTTTGTGACTGCGGCAATAGTTTCGCACGCTTGTGTTGGTTTCTGGGCGGCGTTTCTTTTTCTGTGCTTGCAGCCATGCTCACACGGGAGCAGGAAGCTGCAGTGGCCGCAGCGGCACAAATGAACCTGCTCAGAAGGTCGCGGCGATATGCAACTTCGTGATGCAGCGCATGGCCCTCACGCCTGGCCAGCAGGAGACCCCGCCGCAAGAGCCCCACCACACTTGACTGTACCAGTCTACGTGGGGTACGACGACGTTAAGTCCGTGGCAGACTTCCTGGGGGAGTTGCAGACGTACAACCTTGCCTACGGTGCCTCGTAAGCCTTCATCATGGACCGCATTGTCCCACTGGTGTTGCAAGCCAGTGCTAGAAGCTGGTTGGGGTTGCAGGCCCCGTTTACGAGCCAGACAAGGCTTCGGGAAGAGTTCCTGCCTGTGGACTACGCAACGCAGATTCTCCGAGAGCTCGAGGCAAGGCCGCAGCACTTGGACGAAAGTCAGGACCGGTACGTTCAGGTCATGCAAGAGCTCTTCAAGAGGGCGGACCCGAATACACCGGAGTCGGACAGAGTAGCTCGGGTCAGAAGACTGTGCCACCCAAGATACCACGCCTGCCTCATCGAGGAAGCTCTTCATGCTGAGCGGAACTACGTGCTGCCGCCACCAGCCAAGTACGCACTCAAACCAGCATGCCCCGAGGCCTCCACGCAAGTGGACTGTTCGAATGAGACCTCTCTTCCCCACCACATCATCCGGGAGAGTTGGCGTGACATGTATGGCGTTCGACTAACTCTCATCGAGAGGTCCCTGGAGGTCACAGCAGTGCCTGTGAGGATCTCGGGCGGGGGTCGCCACGACAGGTGGGAGGTCGTTGGCCGTGCCCTATCGCAAGTTGGGGCCCAACGGAGATCACTACCCAAGCGAACCATTTGTATCAGTGTGCTCCTGCAAGTGCTGGGGAAAACTGGCACGCTGCGGTCGAAATCCCGCAGCAAAGCAGCATTGACCGCCGCGGCAACGGAACAAGCCCTCCCCACAACAGCTAATCGCAAGCCTGGTACACTCTTAGAAAAAAAGGGAGTCAGGTGGAGTCAAATGCGCTTTTGACTCCCCATTTTCGCGTGATGGCGTCGAGGTACTCCATCTGGCAGCAAAAAGGAGTCTGATGCGGTTCGGACTCCCTCAAAAGCACTGGAGTCAAATGAGAATAGTAAATGCCTGAACTCAAGTGACTCCACTTGGCACGCAGGGAGTCACCTGATTCTATGAGGTTGGTAGAGTCAGCGTGACAGAGTCTCGCCACCAGAGTCAAATGACCCCGTTTGCGAATCGCGTGAACATTAGACAATTTGACGTGTTTGCAAAAACGATATCACCTTTTAGGGCAAGGTATTTCCATGCACTCCAGTCGCATGCAACTCCCAATGTTTGTTTAGAGAGAAGAAAGAAACCAGCGTGGCATAGGCATTTTATTCGACATGTCTTAATTACATTACCCAGACGCGCTTTTGATTTTTTTTTCTCTCATATTTACTCAGGTAAATGTTTGCGGCTCGCTCCAAGAAAGCCGGCCCAATGCGCAAGGTAAATGGTAGCGCTGTGCTCTATGGCCAGAAATCCGCATAAAAGGCATATGAATTATTAGGAGACACTAATTTGTAACGGATAAATCGGGGGTCAGCTCACCGCAACTTCATTCTGAATTCAATCCCGGAAGATGTTTGCTGATGTCTGTACACATTTAAGAGCACGCACTATGTCACAGTTATTCCGCTGTCGCCCATGCTTTGCCTAAGCGCATGACACCACACACAGCACACGAATCCCCCGGAGGTCCGGTGATGAATGCGGTCGTTGAAGATCTCTTCGGTATCGATGACTGCTTCTGGGGCGCGCGCAAAGCCGATGAAACGAAGGCCCGAGATTGGCGGAAGCGCGGGAGCCTACGCTTAGGAGAGCATTGCGTATTCATCGGCATGTCACATTCGGCAGATTCTAGCTAAAAGCAGAGGTGGAGGAAACGCTGTAAACTCTGCCCATGCATGTCCCGTTCTCAGCTTCATGCCCTGTCTTCCCGAGAAAGTAAAAACATCCCGACAATGCCACAGATGTCGTACACTGTCTCCCCGAAATCTCTCGGAAGCCTCCTCCTCCCCTTGACTTATGCCCTCTCCTCTTGCCGTACTCGTCCCTTTTGTGTTCCCCAATGGAATTTTCCGAGCCGTCAAAAAAAAAAAAAAAACTGGTTCGTTGGTGGCGCTGGAGGGTCGCTAAAACGCCGCGGGATATGTAAAAAATGGCCGACCTTGCGTTCACCAAGCCATGCTCTGCCAATCTTAGAGGCGCCGTCACTGATAGGTTAAATTTTGCTCCCTCCTGCGCTTTTTGTTGGAACATAAGTATTCATTTGTATTTTCTTTTTCGTTTTCTTTTCTTGCTGGCTTCGAAGGGATCTTCTATTTTTATAATATTTCGAGCCTATAGACGCTTTACACACGCGCCAGAATACAGCCGCAATTGCTGACCTTCTCTTGTTTTACCGAGATACCGACCCACTGAAATTGGTATGGAAGAGCCTCCACAAAAGCCAGTGCTGGGGAGAAAGGCAGAATAAAATCTAAGATGGCGATAACATGGCCTGCTGTGGAAATAATGAAGTGAAGTAAACGTAATAAGGGGAAAAAAACTGAAGGTCAGTTATGGCGGTGCTTATGCACAGCTGCTGCAAAACTTCTATACGTGATGGGCAGTTTGATAGTTTAGACCCATGTTACGGATAAATAATCAGAACGCGGGATGACCAAAAAAACATGCTTTTCGAGCAAGGCTCGTCAAATCATGAGACGCTGGAGAAATGCAGAATTCTGCATTAAGTCCTTATTTCGAACTCTTTTTGATCGCCTTCCGCCCTTTGAAAAGCATACGGGAAGGGCCTTAGAACGCACCTGGTATCGCAGCGCCGCAGCGTTCTTCCGCAACATAAAGTTCGTCTGCCTTTCTCGCCGTCACCATGGCAACGAACGCCGAATGAATAGAAGCACGCACGGTACCACCGCGTGAAGCCAGCAACAGCTGACGTCATTTTACGAACGCCGTCTGCTAGCCAAAGCCGAGCGCGGTTGATCCTGTTTTTTTTTTTTTTTATCCGTAACATAGGTCTGAAGTACCAGAGTGCCGATTTGTCTTCAGACAATTCCGCGTCCTGTTTTTTTATCCGTAACATGGGTCTAAAGTATCAAACTGCCGATTTGTCTTCAGACAATTCCTCAAACGGCCAGCTGCCTGAAGTGCAATTTCTCAATTAGGTCAGTTTACCCTAAGCCAATAGTTGTGACAAGAGGACACGCGTGAAATTTGGTTGATCATGACATTCGTGAGCGTTATCTCAAGAAAAGAAGAAATAAATAATGCGCAACTTAAACATTGTTAGAAAATAGTATGGAAACTTCCATTGCTACAACTTATGGCCAACTCCTAAAAATAAATGTTGGTGGTGCTTTCTCATCAACTTAGCTTACTGTCACTGCATAGCAACGTAATGGCTTGGATTAAAGATTACCTAAGTGGACGGGGGCAATGTGTCGTGCTCGGTGGGGAAAAATCTGAGTATGTAAAAGTCGAGTCTGATGTCCCCCAGGGCTCGGTACTGGGTCCTCTGCTCTTCCTGATCTATTTAAACGACATTATTTCTGGCATGGAATCGTATATTCGATTATTTGCGGACGATTGTGTTATTTATAGATTAATTAATGATTCTAACGATATTAATACCTTACAGAGTGATCTAGATAAAATTTCTGTATGGTGTAAAAATTGGAGAATGAACCTAAATGTTAAAAAGTGCGTGCATGTTAAATTTACTACGAAAAAAAAAACTCACTACTTCCGTGTACATGATAAATAATGAAATAATTAAACCTAGCTCGAATGTAAAATACCTAGGTGTTATGTTATCTAATGATTTAACGTGGACGGGACATGTTGAAATGATAGCCCTAAGGGCAATACGAATGCTTAATTTTGTACGGAGAAATTTTCGGCAAGCCCCGATTAAAATTAGAGAAACTTTATACTTTACATATATCCGTCCGTGTATGGAATACGCCTCAGTTGTCTGGGACCCACACCAAAATTATTTCATAGACAAACTTGAAACGATACAAAATCAATGTGCTAGATTTGTA